TTACTTTCTTCTCCTTTCCATATTTTGCCTTTGCTGTTTGTCCAGATGCTCTGTAAAACCAGTAGCAGTTTTGTTATGATACAGGGCAATAGTGTCTCAAAAGTTTGTTCTTTATTTCCACTTAGTTTCCTTCTCTTTCCTTAGAATCATAGAATCACAGAATGCTTTGGGTTGGAAGGGAGCTTTACAGGTCATCTAGCCCAAGCCACCTGCAGTGAGCAGGGACATCTTCAACTACAGCAGGTTGCTCAGAGCCCCGTCCAACCTGGCCTTAGCTTATGCAAAATACCCTGTTACTCTATCACTGTCACATAACTTTCTGGATGCAGGAAGTGACATCCCTGATCTCATAAGAAAACTCCAGTCAGCTGGAGTCCAGGACTCCAGTCAACCATCCCAGGTGTAGGAATATCCTACATACATCATTAGACAAGATTAGTCTTACTGACCTAATTAATTCTTTGCCTCTGCAATTATCAATCAATACTACCTTCACTGTTGACATCAGCATGTAAAACTGATGTAAAAGACATAAGAATCAGGCCTTTTGCATTTTTCAGTTTATTCTTATAAAGTTTTATACTGCACTTTATGCTTCTCATATTCATCTTACTCCTCTAGCTGTAGTGTGCATACATATATTCCTGCCAGATACTGATCAGTGTTGCATACGGTCATCATTCTCAGCGTGTCTACTATATCCACCTACACAGAATGGCACTTACAGCAACTGCTTCTGTAATTTCTGTGCCTCCTTCTGTCTTTGGATGGAAAATGCACAACAGTCATAAATATAATTCATATCATATGTACGTGTCTAAAATCAGGAAAAGTCAGCTATTGCAAGTTTGAACTGATTCTGTCATCTAGAATCTAATTCATAATCTAATCAGTGCCTCTTCTTCAGGCTATTTCTCGAGTGGAAATTATAGTGGATGAAAAGAGAGAGAGTATTTTAATGCAATTTCACAACATAGATAACTATCATTGTTCTTTAAGCAGGACATTTACAGCTTAGCCATCACGTCTGTAAAACAGAGGGTGTGCTGAAAATTATGTAGGGAGTTAAAGATGGAATCCTCCCTCCGTCCCTGATCAGACCTTAAGGTGAGTCTTCAGCCTCTCCAACCCCATTGCTCCCTTTTCCGTCACAAGCAGTGAGTTAGAAACCAACAATCTATAAATACCCCTTTTATATTGCTACTACACCTAAGGTCACTGTGCATCCAGACTTCACTAGCCATATCCCTTTTTGCCCCTCCAAATTTTGAGAATTTCTTACATTTGTCCAAAGATTTCTGGACGACTGACAAGAAAACTGCCAAGCTTCTGGGTATCCCAGTTATTTCAAAAATACATTTGCAAATGCATTGTGCGATACATATGCAGAGAATCAAACGTTTCCCTGTTCGTGTGCTATGTAGTGGTTGCAGCTGTGCGCACACTTTGCATGCACAACTGGAGAATGCAGAATGCCTGCTCATTTTGGTGCTTCCTGGAAGCTCCAAATTTATTGTGTACATGCTCAGCAGTTGAACTGTTTGGGGACTGTATGTGTAGCATGATTGGAAAATGTTGGATTTGTCATCTGTGTCTTACATGATCATGTATTTCTCCTGGAGAAATACTGATGGGAAATAGCATAGAATCATTAAAAATTAAGACTGGAAGGTCAAGGTTCAAGAGATTATCCAGTCCACTCTGCTGTTCTCAGGCAGAGTAGCTATTCCAGTATTTATCTTACTTGCTCCTAAACACTCTCATAGGAGCTCCACAGGACTGTTTCACCACCCTCGTTGTAAAAAATTTCTTCCTTATATCTAATCTAAATCTACCCTCTTTTAGTTTAAAACCATCACCCCTTGCGCTATCGCAACAGGCCCTACTAAAAAGGCTGTCCCCATCTTTCTTATAAGCCCCCTCTTAAGTACTGGAAGGCCGCAATAAGGTCTCCCTGGAGCCTTCTCTTCTCCAGGCTGAAGAGCCCCAACTCTCTCAGCCTGTCCTCGTCGGAGAGGTGCTCCATCCCCCTGATCATTTTCATTGCCCTTCTCTGGACCCACTCCAAAAGGTTCATGTCCTTCTTGTGCTGGGGGCTCCAGAGCTGGACACAGGACTCCGGGTGAGGTCTCACCAGAGCAGAGTAGAGGGGCAGAATCACCTCCCTTGACCTGCTGGCCACTCTTTTGATGCAGCCCAAGATACGGTTGGCCTTCTGGGCTGTGAGCACACACTGCTGGCTCATGTCCAACTTTTCATCCACCAGAACCCTCAAGTCCTTCTCTGTGCAGGGCTGCTGTCAATCCCTTCATCATCTTCCACATGCATTGCAGACACCAACCCCACTCACACAGCTTGGTGTGGGAGTTGCCTTTTCTTCACTTTCACAACACACCAGTGTTGCTGCTAGCATGTTCAAACTGATAGGAACATTTTGAACCCTAATCCTGTATTCCAACCTATCGCAAGTCCCTCCCAGCATGTCACTGGCATGTAAACTTAGTAAGCATATTCTCTTCTCTATCATCCCTGTCGTTAAGAAAATATTCAGTAGTGCAGAACAAGGACAGACTTCTGGGAAGCACCATCCATGCGCACTTCCATTTCACCAGATAGATATCTATGCTCTTGGTTTTGTTTTCCAACTACTTTTGCATTCATTCTGCAGCAATTTAAACTAAACTATGTTTCCCTAGGTTATAAAGAAAGTCACACGAGGGAGTGTGGAAAGACTTGTAAAGTCAAACCACCTACTGCTTTTTCCCTGTCCGCAAGGCCAATTACCCTGTCTTAGAGGGAGATCAGATTGGTTTGACACAGTTTGTTCCTAACAATCCGTGTTGTCTGTTGCTACCTTGTTTTCTTGCGGGTGCTTACAAATTGATTATTTTCTTCAGTACTTTTCCACAGGTTGAAGTTTTGTTGACTGGACTATAATTTTGCAGATCTTTCTTTTTAAAGATAGCTACTGCATTTGCTCCTCCATCCTTGCAGATAAGCACTAACATCTTTAAGACTGTTCCAGATAGTGCAAAAGCATCTAATTCATCTAAATGCAATATTTTTCTTCCCTCGCCTAGGTTGAAATCTTTAGTTTTGCCAGACATTCCCTCAGACAACAGACCCCAAGCCCAAATGCCTGCCTGTTTCTGAAGGCTGCAGTCTGGAGTGATGTGGGTGTAATGGATGGGCAGTCCATTTCTGCAGTGTCTAGAGGAGGCCTGTCCTCCTAGCAGGCTGCTTCTCTAGGAGAAGATATTAGAAAAGTAGACATCTGGGTTAGGAGCTCTCTATAGGTAAAATCCAGCCCTTAGTGAATTTTTTTTAAAGATGCCCAGGGATTGCATGAGTTTGAAATCTGGAAGCCTTTCAATCAGCTTCTTATCTATTATCCCTTTGATACAGTGCCAGTTGTTTTGTTTTTTTTAAATGTGCTTGATCCAAAAATTCTCCTCGAGATAATAAAATAGTTTTCTTTATTCATCCGTAGGAAAGTCAGAATAGGCTAAAACTGGTCAGATAAATAATTTTCATTATTATTAAAGGGTAACTCAAAGTTTTGTGCTTCATTTTGTGTTACATCATTCCATGTGGGAGGCTGAAAAAGGACTTACTTCCATTCTTAAAAAGGAATTAATGTCATTAAAATTGTTCATATGTATTCCATAGAAAAGTGTCATCTTGAATGTGATCAGATGATACCTTTATCTACTGTGCCATACAATTTGTTGTCTACTTAGTATCAATCATTTCTGTGTGTTCTGGGAACATATTATATATATATTGAGTATTACTAATGAATTGAGCTCCTTTTCTGAAGTCATTTGTTCAGTTAAATATCAAAAGATAAAAACTCATACTCATTAGAATGCAAGAAATAGATTTAAATTACTGACTTCAAGCAAGGCCAAATAGGCCGTTATCTTTCCCCCTTTCTGAGAATGCATTTAACAGCTATCACTTAAAAGTGAAGTCTTGTAGTACATTTTTTTAATCTTTTTTGATCAAGAATCAACATAAAATAAAGGTATAATAAGTAGCAGCCATCTGAACATATCAGGACTGCATTACTGCATCATTAGGCTCTGAAAGGGCTGTACTGGACTACTAGAAGTCAGTTCAAACCTGTAAGGGCCATTGTGTCCTTCATTCTGCAGAGAGACTGCCCTTTGAATTTTCTGGGAGTTTTATATAAAAATCAGCACCAGAGAATGTTCCCAGTTTTCAATCCCACATGCAAGCTTCTTATAGGCAGCAGGGATTAACAGTTCTTTCTGTTTCCCTAATGAACAACCAAAGACTACACCGCTGTAAAAATTGTGAAGCTGGATTCACGTATCACAGTGTATCATTTGAATCTACTGTACTTGCTCGACTTTTTAGGTATGTCTTACTTGACGCAGTCCTGATGTGAGTGGGGCTCAGAAGTTTCACTGTGTGTTTTAGGCAAGGACAATTTATTGATGGAGAAATAAGATTTCAACATTTCGGTTTGTTTGCTAGATCTAATGTCATAAAATAAATGATTCCTTTCTGTGGGAAAGGGATTTTCCCCCAGTTTATCTTCTCTTCCCCATTCCCCCTCTTCTTGGCCCCCGTCCTGCCGTATGAAAGGACCTCTCTGAAACAATGCTGATTTATATGTGAATCCATGTAGGGAATACAAATCTGACTTCATGAGTCAGAAAACAGGTAAGGACATGCATTTATTAAATCAGAATGCTGCTGGGAATGTCATAGGTCTCTTCTCACCCGTTTCAAACAACTATTTAGCTTCTAATTAGATTAAGTATCTGATTAAACTGAGAAAAAAATGGACAGACAGAATTCAAAAGAGCTCGGATTGCTCCAGCTGTAGCACTGTCACCTGAACCTAGTCCATGGTATTTAATGCTCCTGTGGGATTTGTTCACCAGAAGTAGATGGGTGAGGTGGTGCATTGAAAGTTTCCTATTACTGCTTCATTTTCTAAATACCTATTTTTACATTTTAACATATAGCTCCATCCGCCCTCCCAGACGCAAGTGGGACAAGCAGCCTCACAACCCAATCTCCTGCATTTGGCTCACAGTCAAGCATCTATGTCTCAAAGCCCAGTGCGTCAGGCTTCCTCTTCTTCCTCCTCATCCTCCTCCTCTTCAGCTTTGAGTGTTGGCCAGTTAGTCAGCAGTAAGTATTGCTCCCTGGCTCTCCTTAATTCTCCCCTCTGTTTGTCCTCCTCACTGCTGAGTTTCCTGATCTGCTTTCCCTCTTTTTTTTTCCATATAGTAGATTGTATATTGCTAAGATTGACTCTTATCAGTAGGAACTGCTAAGTGCTGTCATGGATGGGGCTGAAGGTAAACATGCCTTGAGAAATTGTAATCAATGCTAAAAATGGTCATAAAAATGGTAGCAGCCATTAAATGACTTATGAGGGCAATTCTTTTAACTAAAATGTAGTTTATGTTCTTTGGAAATGAGAAGTTTTTGAACCAGTCAATGTGATGAGTTATATTGCTCAGAATTTGATGGGCAGACAGATCCTCCTGCTTTTGCTTAGGCTGCTTGTTTGTTACTGTTCGTTTGGTTAGTTAGTGTAGCAAACCATTTTACAAACCCTACCACTACACAAATCTAGAGCAGGAGACCTTTCTTGCCAGGAAACGCTTGCACAATTTGAACAAGAAAGAACTGTGATGTGGGAGAGCAGAGAAGCACGCTGCAGTGAAATAACAGAGTTTCAGTGTGAGGACTGTAACAGCTGACCTCCTGAACATCCCTGTCTTCCAGATCACACAGTTCAGTCTTTGCTATTACCTTATCAGCATTAAGTTTGGTCTTCACACAGCAAAAACAACAGGTTAAAAGTATAGAGAAGAACTATTAACAGTTTTTGCACATCTGCAGAAATCTGAGTGTATTGGGTCACCTTGTTCAAAGATACTCCATGTATATATTTCAAGCAAACAAACATTATAGCTCATGTCGTACTGGTAATGTAAAATATATGACTGATACAAGCTTATGAAGGGCTTGGAGAAACTGTCATGCGAAGGAAGATGTGAAAAAATCTTGGTTAGATTATTTCAGAGATTGTTTACATGGGGAAATTACTAGCAGAGCTGTAGCGGTAAAATTATGCTGGTATAACTCCCAGTGTGAATACTTTTATTCTGGAATAAAAATATCCGCATTGGTAGCTGTAAGTACATAAAATATATAGATATAATTATAGTGATATAAATATACTGCTATAGCTCTGTCAGTAAATTTTCTCATGTAGACAAGCTTGTAGGAAGAAGACAAATAAGAAGCTTCATGTTAAAAATACATAAAGTTACCCTTTGTCTATGTGGGAAAATTGACTAAAATAGCTAGTGCAGAATAAGTTACTTTTCAATGGCTAGTCCAGAATAGCCTCCCTTGTGGGCATTCTTATTAAAAGAATATTCTAGAATAACTGTTGAGGGGTACTCTACCCCACAATAGTTATTCCAGTCGATTTCCCCATGTGGATAAGCACACTCTACAATAAAAGCAACATGTAAGAAGCCCTTTCAAGTTTACAAGGTAAATCCATCAAAAGTTAGGAGATGCTAGAAATATAGTTGCTGTTCAACTGTATGCAGTTCCTCTCAGAACATGTATTTTATTATAACAATATACGTTGTGATTAAAATCATGCAGTCACAATTATTTTCTCATCCTCTTTTCAGTACATTCCCAATGGAATTTTTTCAGGGATGCTCAATGACTAAAACAATAGGCGGGCTGTTGGCCCAGGGTTTGTTCTCTACCTGATTCACTAAACTGTTTCCCAGTTTGCATAACGTTTGAGGTAGGGAACGGCAGAAGGCTGAAGGATGGTCTTGCTTCAGGCAGCAGAGGGCTGAGGAACTGTAGCTTTCTGTCCACCACATAATTCCAGTGCAACAGCAGGGAAGTCACTTAAAACAGATTTTTCACAAGTGCTCCCTCAATATCCAGCTTGAGACTCTGGACTTTAATTTACAGAAGAGTCTGGTACTCACAGTTACAATTTTAAGTGCACTTTCACTGTGGAACTGTATAAAGAACCATCTAAAGCCACAGTCTAAAAAATCATCTCCTACTTGACCTAGACTGGGCACCCAAAAATGCTTTTTCCCTTGATATCTGTCCACTTCTCAGTGAATGAGAAGGTGAAGACACTCATCTTGTAGAAACACAAGAAAATAAATTAAGATTTAAAAAAACAGAAGAGCTCAAGAGGAAATTAATAACTATGTCTTTGGTGAAGATCCTTCATAGAGGTCTGGGGCCACACACTGAACAAGTAAAAAGGCAATACATCAATCCGTTCTGCCGTAGTGAGGAATTTGTCCTGTGCACTGGATGAGGCAGCGGTCTGGGGAAAAAGAGCTGGTAATCTGGGGCCCAAAGACTATGCTCCACTGCATTGTGGGCTACTGTAACGCCAGCATTTTGTAGCTTCTAAGTGTTTATTTGTGCAACTCTAAGGATGTTCTGTTAGCTTCATTTTTTGCTTGGATAAACTTCGATGTTGTTACAAAAGCAGAATAGTAATGTCAGTCAGTCATATGGTGAGATAATGTTTATATTCATAGTTGGAAAGATGAGATCTTCCGTCAGTTGAATGGATGGAGAAGCTGATAGGTCGTGTTATCATCTTGTTAGTCCTGCTCATGGATTTGACTGAGAGCAGAGGAGTATAAGGCACAGGAATATTGATCTGGGGAAGAGGCGGAGATACACTCATGAACATAGACTTTCTACTTGTTCCTCTCAGGCTTGACTGCTTCCACCACTTGTCCTGCTCCAGTCCCATTACCTCCTTGCGCTTTTCTCCACACAATCTGCACTCTCTTTGCCTCTGTGCTCCTCTTGCCTTCTCCCTGCAGTCCTTTCTCCACAGTCCATCATTTCTCAACTCCTCGTCCCATTTCATTTCCCCTCCAGCTCCCAGTCAGTCTCTGTTCCACGACCATAACTGTGTCCCTTTCACCAGCCTTTTTGTTAGGTAATTTCTGTCCTCCTCTACCTTGTTTTATCACTAGTATTCCCTGTTTTCTTTCCACTACCACAGTGATTACTACTTTCTGCAGAGTCAGGCCCTCTCTCCCTCCACTCCAAACTCAAATCCCTACTCCTTAATAGTCTTCAGGGATTTTTTCCTTTCCATCATTTCTTTTTTTTCAGACTCAGGGTTAGTTTTTGCACCCCTCTGCATCCAGATCATTCAGATGCCACTCCCACCCTTCCTGGAAGCCATCAGAGGAGTGTGGAAATTGATCACTACGAAGAGAGGACAGTCAATCTCTCTGTCTTTGCTGCCATCCTGGCCCAAAGCAGGCCAGAGCCACAACCATGGGGGGTGAGGGCGTGTTTCTTCTCCATCTACTTCAGCCTTAGGCTCGAGCATTCTCAGTACATAGAAAATCTTAAAGAAAACTCCACACAGAATCCTAGAAAATCTCTACTGAGTAGATACGAGCTTTGGAGGCTCACCTGCTTGGACATGTTGAAGACAGATTTTTACTTAGGATGGCAAGAAGCCAATTACTGACATAACAGCTATCTCCCTGACACCTATATTTTTTTTTTTTTTTTTTTTTTTATCCTGTGCAGAACTGTGTGTCTTATTAGCCTCATTCTCAGAAGCAGTTGACCTGAAATTTGTCTGATAATGGCAAATGCCAGGCAAACTTAGCTGTAGTCAATACCCTACCTGTGATTATGAACGGCACAGAGAAGATAGTGGAAGTGCTTTTCCCTTGCTTAGAAAAGAATAGAGCTCAATTAAATGAAGTGGGGAACTCAGAGTAAAGAAAATACTTTTCATACAGTCAGAATGAGGAAGGCATTGTGCTTGGGAATTAATTCACTGGGACCCAGATCTTAAGAGCATTCCGAAGGGAGAGGCTATTGACAGGGATCTCCTGTGAAAAAGCAGGATGACAATTACACATAAATAAAATATTCTGGAATTGTTTTAAATTTATGTTTCCAACTTCATCCAGTCCCTAGTTATTCAAGACCAACAGACTGAGTAGTGTGAGGGGCAAATCAACTCCTTTCTGCCATTTGTATTGTGTTATCGCACAGACAGAAGTAAAACAGTCATCTTGATGATCCTTGATGGCTGTCCACCATATTCTTGAGAGCATGTAGCCAACCACAAACTGGAGCTAACACTGCATGCGTAAGCCTGCTTGAGCTGACACACGAGTGACAATGTTCCAGGGCAAAAGAGAGCCAGAGGTTTCTAGTAATGCGGAAAGAGCCTACAAGAAAGAAGAAAATACGGTCAGTTCAGTAGGGAAATATCAAATCACCTGTGTAATGAAACATGAAAAGGCAGACAGGATCCTTTACAGCTTTTTGTTGTTGTTGATAATACCATCTTTTTAGAGAAATAGTCTCAATTGATCTTCATGAATTTGAAAATTGTTTCATGTGACTAAAAATCCATTTGCATACAACTGTGCCTGCACGCAGGAAATAAACAGGCAGAAAGTCATGCCTGTTTTACTCCTTTGCAGAACCCATTCAGCTTCTGGGTGCAGATCCACAGGGGCAGAAGCACTGCTTTGTCAAGCCTATGGCCTATAACTGAACAAAGCCTTCTTAGCATCCCAGCTCTCACAGTGGCTAGCAGAGCTTTGTATAACAGCCCTACGACTGAAATCTAGCGTCTGCTGAAGTCCATGCAAAGTCACTTACTGGAATGTCAGTGGTCAGTGGGTCCTGAAAGAAATCCTTCAGCATGAGGGCAGCAAGAAACAACTTGTGGCCTCCTGAATATCTCTTTGATTGCTTTACCCCTCTTGAGGCACGAATATTGTTGTTTTCTTTTCCTCATTCACTCCAAAGCTGAAGTTCAGTCCTCCAGCAGAGGCCCTAGAGTTGAGTAGCTTGGTAGAGATTTGCTGTATTCCAGAAATTGTTGCCAAATATAGTAAAGTTCATGTAAAGCTAGGCATATTCAGCTACCTTATTCTGTTAATCAAATTGCTTAGAGCAACATAACTAAATAATTATTTGGGGCAAGGATCTGCACCTTTACAAGAGGCCACCTCACATCAGTGAAATTACTAAAGTACTATGAGAAAGGGATCACAATTGGGCTTTAATAACTTTTGTGTTCCATTTCCTTGGTTTTATTCCTTTTACTTTTCATGCTAGTCATATTTTCTTTATGATTTTACATTTTTTCTTTAACATGTTTCCTTATTTTAGAAAAGTTGTATTTTCTTTTTTTTTTTAATTTCCCTTTCTTTTGTAATTCTCTGTCCTTTCTTTTTGTTTGGATTGTTGTGTTCTTTATAGCTTCTCCCTTTTTCCTCATTCTCACTCCTTCATCCCTCACCAGCAACAAGTTTTAGTTCTTCTAAAGACAAAAAAATATGGCTGTTTGCAAGGAAGGGCCATTTAAAAAGAAGGTCTACCTCAGCAAGGACTACAAGATTCACCTCTACTCTTCCTGTGCCTTCTGTATGATTTCTTCATACCGTCTTACCCTATCTCTGTTCTCTTTTCTCTTCTTTGTTTTCTCTTTATTCAATTCTACACCATTATTCCTCCTTTTGTTGCATTTAATTTTCCTCTTCTCATATGCATCCCTCTTCTCACTTCTTTAACTTTTCCACCATATGTTCTCTTTGTGGAAATCACTGATTTCCCCTCATGCTCTGAGACCTGTGTCTTCATGAAGCTCCTTTCTTCCTTCCAAATTAATTTCACTGTCATCTGTTACTATAAAGTTAGACTGCCTCCCACAAACAAATAATTTGTCTTTCTTTCCCCTGAGCTCCAGTCTATTTCCCATTAACAATGTTTTGTCCTGCCTCTCTTATGCAATTTACTTTCCATTGGACTTCCTTTGCCAGCTATTTCTCCTCCTATCTGACTGGGGAAATCATCCCCTGTAATCCCTCCTGTGGTAGAACTCTGCACAACAGAAATTTGCTTTCTCCTTCAGGGTACACTGATTTCTCTGTAGCAACTCTTTCCCCTAACTATTAAAATTACAGCAAATTTGCACTCACCAACAAACTCATACAAGATTTTCAGAAGAATTCAAAAGTGGGAGTATTCCCTTCAGTAGGAAAAAAGGGGTTTCCGTGCAGAAGGAGAGCCTGTGGATTTGATTTCGTCCACCTTCACCATCCAACAGGATATCTCGGGGAATTTTAGATGGTTTCCGTTTTGTTGGGGAATATGTACACATACACCCTAAAATGGCCCAGACAACTCTGTCACCTTTCTTCAGCACGCAGTAGTTTCATAGACATGACAGCCACTGTTTCAACAAGCCACAATGTACACTGGGAGTCTTTAAATGCTGTTACTGTAGATCGCAACCGTTCAATGATACTGGTATTCTTTATTTTCATGTTGGCACTGTGCTGCCTTCTTTAGGATATCCACTTAATTTAAGAAGACCTGGTTTATTTACAGTCCTCAATAAGCTACTCTTCCTTAAAACATGAAGTGCACTAAACACTTAACTGTTCTGAAAGCTCAGAACTTATTAAAACAAAGACCATTATGTATTTGTATATGTTTATATATGTGTATGTATTAGTCCATAGAGTCCAAGATTATTTATAGATGGCATTTTAATGGCAATAGAGCAAAACAGACTGGTGTCGTTCTATCATGATGTCAATAGAGTGGTCTTCATAGTACTATTTGAGTTTTATGGAGCTGACAGGAATCAAGGGACTGCTTCTATGGATCTTAAAGGGCTTTGAATCACACCTGAAGCAGAAGTGGTTCTGATTTGATACAAACACTATTTTCCTAGAATTCCGGGATAAAAGGCTTCAATGTTTCGGTCCCCCTCTGTTAGTACTTTCCTCCTCCCAAAGACACTAAGAATGAAGCCTCTTTCTCAGCAGATACTCTGCCATATATTACAATCTACTCCCATATTCCTGAAGTGCATCATGGGGGCTTTCTTCTCATCTCAAAGAGCGCTCAGCCTAATTGTTCCCTCGTCCAAGCCCGCTGAGCAGGAAAGGACTTCCCATGATACTCGCTGTTGCAACAGTGCTGTACCAGAAGGATCCAGCAGAACTTGGCAGAATTTCTCTATAATCATGCGCAAGCAAATAACCCCTTAGCTTTCTTACCTCCCTTTTTATTCCCTTTTACAGGAGCTGGGGAGGTTTACAGGTGCCATTTGCCATAGCGTTTGCTACTTTGAAAGTTCTTTGGGAACACCTGAATTGTCCGTTGTCACATCCCTAATAGCCTCAGTCAGAGGCCTTAAAGTGAAGGAAGGAAAGAGGTGAGGAAGGTCACCATCTTAGTGCACTTTACTCAAGGGAGTCTTTGAGGCCATTATCATTTATGATATTTTGTACATTTATCAGTTGCTCTTCAGAGACCCAAAGGGTAGATAAGCATCCAGCTCCATTCTGTGTCTCTGAAAATCAGAACTGGTGTGCTAGACAGACTGTTGTGTATGGGGTAAGTAGGAAAACGTCACACCTCTAAAGGCAATTACTTTACAAACCTGAGTGGCCCCTGTTATAGCGCCGACTACTTAAAACCAAATAATACATACCCCAGCTTTATACTGAATGAGTGCATGTATGTGCTCACAGGCGAGCAAAAGCACAGCACTGACAGCAGGAGGGATGATTCTGAGTGTGGAGCATTGTCAAAGCTATGTGCCTGTTTACCTGTATGCAGAGTTCATCTGGTCCCTGGTTGCACACATGAGTATTTTTAAAATACTGTTGCTATGTGTGCTTCTTATACTCCAGCTATGAATCAGTATAGGCTAGATGTATATAGCAGAAAAACCTCTTCCCTCTGTCTATTATTGGACTAAAAGATTTTTTACAGGACATTTCCATCATAAGGGACTTTTACATCAGGTTTATAAACCCCTGAAAATCAAAGCTTTCTTACTGTAATGCTGACAAGCCTTTAGCTGTAGCAGTACTAGCAGGAGCCACTCTCATATAGGGTTCAGAATAGTAATGTAGTCTAGCACTGTCCGTGGACAACTGCTTGCATTTACAGAAATTGATGGGTTATTGCGCGGCAAACTTTTCACCTAAGAAGTCTGAGGAATGAGGTGAAGAACAATAGAGATGTCTCGCTGGGAGAATGGCTTCACTACACGCAGGATTGCACAGCACTTTGAAATCTTCCACCATCCCAGTCCCATGCTGTCTCCAGCTTGGCAAACGCTTTCATTTAGCCAGGGATCAGTAGCTTGGGGGGGGAGGAAGAAGTTCCATTCTCCAGCTGTTGTGTCATTTCCCTTGATAAGTCCTAAATTGACCGAGTTATCCAGCACCAAAGGAGCTTTCCTGTGGTAGACATGCTTTATTATGTGCCCTTTCAGGGACAAAGGCTTCTGTGTCAGTAAACTGCTATGGAGAGGAAGGACAGATTTATTCGCACAGCATCATAAGCATTATCTTCTGAGGGGCTAATGTAAAAGTAAAAAATTGTGCAGCATTACCATCCGAAACCTAATGGCTGATGTTGCTGCTCCTTGATTATCAACCTGATGGGAGGCAGAATGAAAAGCTTGAAAGGCTGCTTCTCAGAAGGGCATACTTTAAAAGATTATTTTTAAATTAAGGAGTTTTTAGAGGCAGCATTTTGTTTGGTCTTGTTCATTTGCTGGGTTATTTTGGATGTGTGGCTGGTGGTTTGGGTTGGGTATTGTGCAAAAGGGAAGGAAGGTTTGGGAGTCTCTTTATTTGGTGTTAGTTTTACTTAAAGCAGGAAGTCTTGATTTCACATTAAAAACCCAAGCAGTTCGTGCATATATTTAGCCCTTCTCACAGGCTGCAAATAAATGTATTAACAGCAGCCTTCCTTCTGTAAGTGATAAGAAGGGGAAATAGGGAACAAGACTTGTGAACCTGAGGGACATTTTGCATGGCACAAGTGGCAGTGAGGTGCCCAGGCACCACCTCACTTGGAGGTGAGTTGGCCATTTTCAGGAGTTCAGTAACAAAGTATGTCTTTGAAAATCCTTCGTCAGTACCTGGAGACACTGCAGCCTAGTTAGCATTTTAGCAATCTGAACATGCTTCTGAACACACCTGACAATGCAAGCATGTTTCTGTTTGGGGAAGAAGAGAAAGGGATAAATATTTTAAAAAAATTAACACAGACGTCTTGACAATGAAAGCTGGTGTGAGCTTAGCCCGCCTATATGCGATGCGAAGAACTGACATGATTAAAAAAATATTTCAACAGATCCTAAACCAGCCACTGGAGAGGTGGATGGGGTGAATCTGGAAGAAATCCGAGAATTTGCCAAAGCTTTTAAAATCCGGCGCCTGTCCCTTGGCTTGACACAGACTCAAGTTGGCCAAGCCCTAAGCGCCACCGAAGGCCCAGCCTATAGCCAGTCTGCCATCTGCAGGTAACAAGTTACATCATAAACTCTCCTCTCCACTCTTTCTTCTTAATAATTATTCAGCTTATCATGAGGAGCATGCTTGTGTTCGAGTCTCATGTCTTTAGAATGTATTATTTAATTTGGGACTTAAATTAGCCAACAATGTTCGTATCTGGCAGCTAAAATGTTCTTATTGTGTACCCCTAAAGTAACTTTAGTCTTTTTTTTCCTCCTTCTTTTTTTAAACAAGTGAGAAACAATGTCCCTGGCATTGAGACTTAATTCAGTAGACAAGCTGGAGACCCTGCTGATGCTGGATAAGCACCACCTGACCCTCTTCATACTGTGCCATTTTCTACAGATAGGGTTACTGAACAAATATTTCATGGCTGCATCCCTGCTAAGTTAAAACATGTATTACTGTGGTTAGCACTTCACATATAGGATGTTAATGATGATTTACCTAGGCAACGCACAAGGGAAAAAATTATCCTTCCTGCTATCTTGCAAACCAGCAGCTCTTCATCTCTTATCACCCAAATGTTTACTGAAAAAACAGACAGCCCGTGTATGCAAAGCAGAAGCAGAAATCTGCCCCGATCATATGGAATGATAGTACAGTCTTGACAAAGTTAAAGCAGTTAGAAGCAAACACCGGCATAGGCATGTATGTGTGTTACAGTAATCCCATGTTTATGCATGAGGTAACAAACACACTTAGGTAACAGCTTTTTCCTCTTGGGCAATGCCTTATAGTCCTTCTCCATCAGTGAAAGCCAAGAAACCAACTCTAAGCTCATTTAAGTGGATTTTGTTCTTGGTGATCCATGAAATGCTCTGTCTTTTTATCTGCTCTTTATACTTTTAATGTATTCCCCATAGAACGGAAGTGTACTTTTCCTGCAGTTTAAGGTTATAAATAACATCAGTATGGGGTAGTGAGCTTGCAGCTCACATTTTGCTCAATGATTTTCCATAAAACCCATTGATTGTTGTTAAATACAAAAAGCTCCATAGGATCCTCTCACTTCTATGGTCTCCCCTACTGTTTTTTCTTATAAGATACCTCCCTGTAGAAAATAACCTTTATTCAGTCTATACAAGGATACTACTGCTGGGAAATTTGTTTTGAGACTTGTATATCGTTATACCAAACAACATGTACTGCAGTATCAACACTAACAAGCAATGCCAATGATATGAATGCTATTGCTCCCTGTTGCTAAGGTTTAATTTTTTTTTTTTCTTCTATGTGGTCAATTGGTAAAGAATGCCTAAAACCGGTGGAGTTTTTAGCAATCGCCAATTTGTTGTAGCCTTAAGTTTTTCTTTAACGTGCTATACTTTAAAGCAATAAATTGCAGTTTCCTTTGCTTTTGTCTAGTTTGCTGACTTCTCATTTCCTCCGTCCACCTCACACCTGAGAAAACCACTTGGGGTGGTTTGAATTTTACCAAAAGAAAGGGTTCCCCATTAACTGATTATCATGAAAACCCCAATAAAGATGAAGTTGGAGCACAGACATGGCTAACAGCAGCCCAGAATGAGGAGACCTTTTACAGAGGGCTCCTTAGAGGAGCAGATGGCTCAGAACATGAGGACTCGGCGCAGAAGCTGGTCCCAAATACTTGCAAGGTTATAGGGTTTTTTTACTTTTGACCCCTCCGGGTGGATATTAGTTTGGGGTGTAAAAACCTGCTATGACTGTGCATTTCTTGTTAAGCACCAAGACAAGCTGCTTCAGTGGCAGTATGCTGTTCCTCAGAAAAAGTAGGTTTAACTTTTCTTTTAATGGTAACAAAGGAGTTTCATTGTGGACTCCAGGGTAATGGAAAGGGCAGTTCAACAAGTTGAACAACCAACTCGGAGACAGAAGCTGAGTGTCCCAGCGCCCTGTGCAGATCACATCAGCAATATACCACCTTGCTGGTATGTTCTGCATGTAGATAACGGCATTGTCTTAACTTGAGACAATGCATTCTAAAATACACACTTCGGCCTGAAATATCACTGGACACCAAGGAAGGACAGCTTGCAGTCAGTACTACACTAGGATCCCAGGCACCAGTTACAAATTCTTTGGAGTGTTTTTATCTGAAATTATTACTTGCCTTATTCTTTGTTTGTGAGGAATGCTTTGCTTCTTGCTGGAATATTTCCCACAGCCACCGCGTGCTGAATAGAGACGCTAAGAATTGCCGACTCCAGGCACCGCGTTGCTTTGCCCAAGGGCATTGATTCGGTCGGTCTCACCTCCAGAGCTCGTCGCGATTAGCGGCGGCGGTGCTTCAGCACGGGGCGGGCTGGAGGCTGCAGCAGCCCCACACAATAGTTGTTGCCTTTCCGCAACTTCAGATACCACAGTGTGCGGGGTGGACGTAGACGAAGTGGGGAAATACGAATGGGTGGCATCAGACGAGTTGGGTTAAGACTTTTCAAACGCGTAGCAAGAGAGGATGGACTTGGTAAATGAAAGAAGCAAGTACTTAATATTATAAGACTTGAAATGTGACCTCCGCTGTTCTGCTTGTTTTTGAAAGGATTAAAGCTTTGTGTGGCTGCTTTTCCAGATGTTTTATAATACTTGTAAAATCTGGTTTGGCAAAAGACTTTTGATGGCAAAACGATATATAGAAGACCTCATTTACAGGAAATGATATCATTCTGGTACAGTTTGCAGAAATCCCACAATAAACCCAGCTTGGTGCCACAGCATATTAGTAGACTATTATGCTGGGTTTCATCTGGAAAACATGAGTCTGTCTTTGCACATTGTGGGGGCAGTCAAGATAATTGCAAAGTGTCCAGCTGTTTCAGCTGAACACCACCATAGCTATGGGAATCTTTTTCCGACCCAGAAAAGGGATATAGCGTTAACTTGCAAACAGTGAAAATTACTGGAAAATAGAAGGAAAGGAAACCTGATATTCAGAGGCCAGTAACTGCCATTGGCTTGTGTTATTAAACCCGTGGTGTTTGGACAACATGGGATGGGAGGGGAAACAAAAGGATTAATCACAAAGACGAGATGATAAAGAGCAATTGCCTTTGATGTCATTTCCTGTAATTAGACCTAGCCTTAAGGGTTTTGAAGATCAATAGAAATATGAAAACGTGACTCATAACCTGTATTATTTAGTGTACTTTTAGAATTTTGTTGTAGTGCTCGTTTTTTGTTAGCTTAAATATCTAGCTATATATTTATATATTATAGATATAGCTATCTGATAGTTTTCATAATCCATTGTAAATGACCTCTGCCAGTCGATTAGGCAGGCAGGCAGGAAGTCCCACCCTGGCAGAGCATCAGTGTAAGACTCTTCTTTCTCAATTTTCCCTCAGACACACCATCCTGAGAAGCCACTTTTTCCTACCACAGGAAGCCCAAGAGAACACTATAGCTAGCAGTCTGACAGCCAAACTGAACCCTGGCCTTTTGTATCCTGCCAGGTTTGAAAAGCTGGACATCACCCCTAAAAGTGCCCAGAAGATAAAGCCGGTGCTTGAGCGGTGGATGGCTGAGGCTGAGGCCCGCCATCGAGCAGGTATGCAGAACCTTACCGAGTTTATCGGAAGTGAACCATCCAAAAAGCGCAAGAGGCGTACCTCATTCACGCCGCAAGCCCTTGAGATCTTGAATGCCCACTTTGAGAAGAACACGCACCCCTCTGGGCAAGAAATGACAGAGATTGCAGAGAAACTGAACTATGACCGGGAAGTAGTTAGAGTTTGGTTCTGCAATAAGAGGCAAGCACTGAAGAACACAATTAAACGTTTGAAACAACACGAGCCTGCAACAGCAGTTCCTATGGAGCCTTTAACAGACTCTCTGGAAGAAAACTCCTAAAAACAAAACAAAACTACACACAAAAAAACCCCGCACCGACAGAAACGTAACCATTCGAACTCTGTGAAAATACCCGTTCATCACCCTTGTAAGTAAAAGACTGAGAAAACTACAAGAAGGACAGAACAGTTTATAAATGTCCGTGGGTTTTCCTATTTAAAAAACAAAAGAAAAAATACACAACACTTAGTGTGTGTGTGTGTCGTAGAATTAGTTCCCAAAAAAGAAAGAAAAAGCCAGTTTTTTTAAATGGACTTAAAGTAAACCAAATAACTGCTTACTTTTTTTCTGTATATTATGAAAATGTGAACACATTTTAAGGAAAAACAAAACAAACAAAAAAAAAAGAAAAAAAAAGAACAAAACCTTTTATCTGTATAAAAGCGCATACGAGCCTGCCACCTGGAGGAGCGATCGTAGTCTTTCAGGTATCAAGTGCTGAGTCACTATGAAAACTATTAACCAAAGTCAGAAACATGGCATTGCAAACTAGATTGTTAGTCTACTCTTTTATGAGTGTAAGATTGTGTTATGGATTTTTACATTTGTATTTTGCAACGAGGAAGACAACGGGATTAATCTCGCTCATTCTTGTTCGCCCTCCCTGCAGGTGTGTACAAACAGGTGTTAAAGCCATTCCATAGTGGTCACCACCTTTTCTTTTCTTTCCTTTTCTTTTAGTCAATGGTTTTGCAGTCTCCAAGCGTTTGGGTGCCAAAAATAATTTATTTTTATTGTGATTTGCGGGGTTTGGTTTTTCTCTTCTAAGGGCGTGTGTCTTGGTTTGCATTTCTATTTTGCTTTTTTTCTGATTCTTTTTGCTGCCTCCTCCCTTCCAGCTCATTCTCTACCCCTTCCCCAAACCCATATCACCCAGTACTGTTTGAAGATTTTCAAAAAGAAAAGTGAAATCTGAACACTCTTATATTGATATGCTGAAACGCAATAGAGGACAAAGAAGGATTAGGATTATGTCTGTTGAACTGTCAGCCCATGCTGAACGTCGTGCTTATTGTCAGCTGTGTAGCTTGGGATTTCTCTGTCCTTTGGCCATGAACCTGGAGAGGTTACCAAAACTCATTTTGTAGTATAAATATAAACTGTACACTTGGTTCAGTACTGCATCTATTTTATGGTTCTGTTTGACGCAATTTTTCTCCAAAGTCTGCTAGCCAAAGAAGTGTTTTGAGATTCTGACGAAAACAGACAGGCTGAGAAATGATGAGGATGCTTTGATCGTTACGTCACTATGGACTGTGTCAATGATCGTGCTGTGTTCCTTCTGCCTTTTTTTTATGTCATCTCAATATTGATGCTTGCCCTGTTGACCTCTTCAGTAGGAGGGTGTGTTTCTGCCAGTGTTTGGTGTGACCACTGGCCATCAGGATATAGGGAAATCTGTTGAATGTCCTTTGGGAATAGGAAGGTGGGTCACCTGCAGTATGTTTCAGGTGACTTGATTTTCCTTTAAACACAACTCAGCTCTGTGTCTTCCTCTTCGATTGGACAAACATCTTCTAAAATACTGTGGTAACTGGACCTATGAGTGTACCAAGGCGCAGAGGGAGAGAAAGGTATTGCAGGGTCTAGACAGAGTATGGGCTGACCCGCGAAGGTCACCTGTGATTTTCACCTTCCACTGAGTTCTGCTTCAGCCTTTGGGGTTCAGCCCACTGGTAGGGTAGAAGCTACATTTTGGTGACATCTTCCCAGAAGATATTACTGGGGATTTGGTTCAGCTCACTGTAGAGGTGGTAGGGTAAAATTCTGCTGGTGTTACTCCTGACTGCGTTCGCTGATCTCAGGGTGGTTGTACTGGTTTTTTGCTGGTCTACCCAGGATGTCGAAGGAGGTTCCCGAAGTGCTGGAGTCTTCAAATAACACCTCTCTTATAGAGTTTTCAAGAACTCAGGGCTATATCCAAAACTTAGTGAAAGAAAGAGACTTCCATTGATTTCACTGGGTTTTGAATCTGGCCCTCACTATTTCGTTAATAGGATTTTGCCTTGTAGAATGGGGTAATTGCCTCATGGCTGGTGGAGTTTCAAGGCTTCAGAGACCATCATCTGTGCCAGAAACTGCCTCTTCTTGTGAGCACTCTCGAAGGTCAGGGTTGGAGAGCACTGAGGATCCAGTACTCCAGGCTGGGCTCATGTCCAGCAAATGCATTTTAGGCTTTAAACTTCAGCAGGGTATGTTTAAGGATATTTTCAGTATTGCTTTTATGAGGAGGAGAGTGAGAATTGTTATTGACTCTTTTCTGACTGTTGATGCATAAATACCTGCTGAGGGAAAAAACACCTCAGTAACCACCGGCAAATTGTGAGGGACAAAAAAGATGCTTTACCCAAGCTGAACATGTGAAGTAAAGAGAGTCTCGCAGCAACATCTGCCCTTCTGGGTTTTCTTTTTCCCTCTCCATCTATAGATACCTATATCCACAGATATAGCTATGTTGTCTATACCAAACAGCTCTAAACTTGTAGCCACGATTCAATTTACGTAACGATCAGGAGACCACCCAGAAGCCAACAGGGAAGCAGGGAAGATCATATTTGGAAGCAGACACTCCTGAAGTCCTTATACATGTCTCCAGTATGCTGCTAATTGTCCTGTCATTAATGGCACATACACAATTACCTGTTCAGCCGCCCCTGAGACCGTACAAAAACACCTCCCTCCACCCCCGTCATCAACAGCCTGGGAACAAAACCATCAACTATTCCTTGCCTAAAAAGTTCTCCCAGGGACTGCTCTAAATTTGGTGAAGAAAAATCCAACAAGAGGAAAAGTTAACTAAACAGTGTATGAAAGATATTAAATGTTTAAAAATATGCTGGCAGCAGTTATATAAGCCCTTTTCTGTTCCAAACTACATATCAGAAGGATATAACTAGGACAGTGAAAATGTAAAATAAATATAAATCGCCAGCTTGGAAGAAAAAATGATGTTCATCCCACAGTCTTAAAACCATTCATGTGCAGTAATTTTTTTTACAGTTTTCTAGTTTTGTATTATGTTTTGTAAATTATTTATAAAGTGTTGTAATGCTTCTTATATTAATTTTTTTATAAACAAATTTTTGCTATGAGGCATAAATGGTGCCTGAACAGATTCTTAGGAAGATAAATTACGTGTGAGTCGTACACCTTTGGGGGGCCATAAATGTTTTGGTTTATTTTGTTACTGGCAACATTTCTGGTTTCCATTTGTAAACAATCTTCATGTATTGATCACATTTGAATACCTTTTAATTCTGCATGTGACTAAAAGGTAGATTGCTACCAGCAAATGAAACAAAAGTCTCTTCAGTCACATGTGAAGGTTTCGTGGTTTTCCAATTTATTGATCATTGAAAAAAAAAAAGAGAAAAAAGAGAAAAAAGAGAGAACAAGAAAGCAAAAAGGAGCTAGGAAGGAACAAGTAGAGGCGTATCAAAGAACTCAAGCTATAACCAAAAAGAAATAACTAACATGACTGATCATGCCACTAGTTTGTTTTAAAAAAAAAAAAAAAAAGAAATACAAAAATAAAACTGTTCATCAGTGTTTTACCTCAGCACTCTACTTGTACCCAGTTATTGACCAACATTCAAATAAGAAGATAAGAGAGGAAATTGATTTCCATGTCAATGTTTGACTGTAAAATCTGTTTGGAAAACATTTTGTAATGAGCTTTTTGTCATGTGGTTTGCTTGTTTTAAAAAAAAAAAAAAAAAGAAATACAAAAATAAAACTGTTCATCAGTGTTTTACCTCAGCACTCTACTTGTACCCAGTTATTGACCAACATTCAAATAAGAAGATAAGAGAGGAAATTGATTTCCATGTCAATGTTTGACTGTAAAATCTGTTTGGAAAACATTTTGTAATGAGCTTTTTGTCATGTGGTTTGCTTGTTTCCAACTTGAGATTATGTGGGGCACATTTGTTTATTTATTGGTAAAAAGTGATATTATTATTATTATTATTACTGCTATTATTATTATTATTATTATTATTTTTGTCCTATGTGCTATAATCTACAGAATGGTCACCAGGGTCACTTATGAAGCACTGCAAGGAGATCTGTTTTTCCATGCATGGAGCATGCAGCGGGAAAGATGGCAGTACAAAATGGACTGTATTGTGTTGTTAAAAAATACAAATAATTACAAAAGGAGTTGTGTGGTGGACTTGTGACCAAGAAACCAAACTGGATATTTAAAAGCTCCTTACTACTCTGACTTTGAAACCAAAGCTGATTTATCTGCACAGGTTGCTTAACATGAAAAAAATAAAAAAAAAACTGACAAAAACTGTACTTAATCTAGAGCAATATCTGTATGGTCAGTAAAGCTGCACTTTGTGTATTTCTTAACAGCTTCAGATCTGTCACTTTTAATTTGTACCATAAAAAATAAAGAATTGTTTGACATGAAAAATAAGCTCCTTTCATGTGTTTGTCTTAAATCTCATGCATTATTCACATGATCAGGGCTCATGTAATTTCACATCAGTTCAATATAAAAGTAGTTAAATGCTCGAGAGAAAGGAAGAAAGAAAATCCGTTTGCACCGTGGAGTATCCACTTTATCTGCAAATCTAAACACTGCTTCCGTAGCCAGAGTGGGCATGTGCGTTGGTGACGTCTTATTTTCTCTACAGATCCGCAGAGCAGAGGATCTGCCTCAGGAATGTGGTGGAATCGCTCAGGTGAGTGTGTGCCATCCCCCAGGCCAAGTGGAGCAAAGCAGAGATGGACCTGAAGGCCAGAAATGGTGAATCTCCTGGTGCTTCCACAGCTCCCAGAACAAAGCCCCAGTAAGTAAAGGCAGGCAGGTGTGGTAGCGAGCTTGGGTCAGCCTTTCAGATTATTTCTCTTGCATTTTTGCAGTGCTCATGAGGTTCATTCCTCATTTCTTTCTGTGATTATGATATTAGGTAGCAGAAATGCCTGTTTTTCAGACCATTTGCACTGAGTCATACTGAGCTCTGGCTAAATACATGATTCTGAAAAATTTACACATTTTGAGAAATGAGTTAGTTGTAGTATAAAGTTGTTTTG